GAATTGAGTAACATTAAAATGTAATGAATGCAAACGAAATTCGGATACATGGAAACAGTTTGTGCTGTTCTTTTGCTATCCAATTTCTTTTGTCTGGCGCTTTCTCTTGCTCTCTTTCTACACACTCATACGCAATTTTATGCTACCATCATCAATTGCTCGACCGATTTTCGACTAGCATCCAGGTTTCTGTTTTAATTAAAGATCCATTACGCTTAGAAGCAGCACTAATTTTTCTCTCGTTTCACATGCAGCCCTCGACGCAAAAAAAGAAGTTGTATCCAATTCTCTTAATCATGATCAAATAATCGAATATATTGTTTTCTTTTTCCTTCCCCTTTTTTGCATGATTCGCTTGTTTATACCGAAAAAAGTATTGAGCTAATCGGTAACTACGGGAACATAATCAAGTGAGCATCTCGCGGTTCAAAATTCCCCAAACTCATGCAATATTTTAATGTGCTTTCCAAGAAGTGTACGTACTTTGTGGCATTCACCACAATCCGCATTGAAAGTATAACCGAACTAAACGAGTAATCATTTCATATACTAACAAATGAAAATACGTGCACTTGCTGGTGCAAATGTTAGCATTGTTCGTTCGGTTGTTGTTTTTCCTGCTGTTTTTCTGCTTGTTCAACGCATTGAAATTCACCAAATTTTCATATACAATCATCAATCGAACCACAAATGAAAACAATCGTTTCAATTTCAGGAACAAAAGTAAAAGCTTTGTTTCAATTTTCAATTCAATCTGTACAAAGGAGTTGCATTTTTTTTTTGTACACTCTCAGTCACTCCCATGCACACAAACACACACACACATGTTACGCAAAAACTATGAGCTGAATGCAATACGTAAAAATAGTGTTTTATATTTTGTTTGAAACAAACTATGATTTATTGTGTGGGGAAAATGCATAATAACCTGTGTGTGTATGTATATGTTCGCTCTGGCTACGGAGAGAGCAGCATTTGAAAATAAATGCAAATTTCCAATCATACACTTTTCCTCTTCATTTGCATACTTTTTTGTTACTCCTATTCTCTCGATTCTCGTGAGCACACGAGAAACGAAGCCGGAGAAAGAGTGACAGAGTGAGACTTCGAGGGAAGAGAATGGGAAGAAAAAGAAGTAGAAGACAGCGATTTATTTGCAATACGCCGGAAGAAATTTCACGAATACACACACACACACAGCGAGAGTGAGAGAGTGAGAGAACGGACCAAACGACGATGATGGTAAAATGCGAAGAATAGTGCAATGCAAGTTGTGAAAAGTGGTGGTGACACATTGCCAGTTTGAAGATCAACATGAATATTTCAAGCACTAGCTGCTAAGAGCTGTTCTCACTCCTCATTTGCTTGGGCAGCTTTTTGGTGTTTCGCGCTCGTTCATTCGTTCGTTCGCTCATTTATTCGTTCGCCTCTTGCTATTTTTTTTTCTTCTCACTCGTTCGGCTCACTTGCACAGTCGATGCAAGCGCAAAATCAGTCAAGTTTTACCGTTGCGGGCTTTGGTTTCAACCTGTTAAATCCATGGTGTAAAACAGAGCTAATTTACACATTTAAAAAAAAATCTTACCACTTTCCAAGAAAAATATTCAGTGTGCCTTGTTTCTGACGCCGTATTTTTTCTACCCTTCTCGGGTATGATGCTTGGCACTTGGTTGGCTTTCGATGAGTGGAAGCCGTCAGCTCAAAATGAATGCAACACCAGGATGAAGAAAATAAAGAAACGGAGAGCCGAACTGTTTAAAAGACGCATTTGCCTTTTGCACGAAAATGAAACAAAAAAAGTTGGCCGCTTTTTGTGTGTGTATGTTAAACTTGATAACAGTGATTGCTTTTGTATCGCAGCTGGCGCGTATCCGTCGATTCTTTTCGCTGGCGCGTATCCGCCATGTCACGGATCTGTAAATGATTGAATTTTAAAAGGACAACACAACGGCTCCAAACAACAGCACACAAAGTTAGAGCAGGCGAAAGGGAGCGAAAGAGTAAGAGAGAACGAAAACAAACACGAAAGGTGCAAATATCTGGCAGCGTTAGCAGTTACTCAGAGTGTGTCGTCCGACGTTCATTTGATACTTGTTTTTTCCGCATTTCCTTGAATTGTTTGCATTGTGTACGTTTACGTCTCTTCATTCGAATTTTTCGGCTGCTGTCATCTACCAAACTATTGAAATGCACTAATTAAAACCTCCTTTTCTGTGCTGTTATCATTTTTGAGTGTTTACAACGGTGACAAAAAATAAAATGTCATTTACGACTGTAGAATGCAGCCTCTTCATCATCAGCCGCGCCAAACGAATTCGGCAATTCGCTTTTGCTTTGCCAACCGAACGAAGCACCTAAAAACGGAGGGAAATAAGAAAATAGTTGCGTTGTTTGGTTGCATCGCAATAAATTGCCAGCCAATCTCGTTATCTATGCGAGTGCACATGAAAATAAAATGCAAATTGAAACGGTAATAAAATTTCGCAAAGGGAAAAATAATGGGAATATTTAATTATTTGATGTGGAAATAATCACAAGAGAAACTGCAGATATTTGCATTTTCTCCGTCTAGTTTTCCGTTGCCTTCATTGCTTTTTTCCATACTCTTTTTCATTCGCTCTCTATCTCTACCTCTCTCGTTCGGTCTCAGTTTCGTGTGCTGCACTTGATTTTTAATTTCGTTCCTTTTTTAATTTCGTTTACATTAAATTCGAGTCAAAATTTATATTACACAGTTGAACATTTGTCTAACTTTAAAATGTTATCAAGATGGTTGGAGGCATCAACTACAAGGAATCGGTACACATTCAAACGGTGCTTATTTACTATGTCGTTAGAAAATCATTTACGATTCAATGCTTTCGTATACAACTTACACGCACTCTTGCTGTGTATGCAAATTTCATGAAATGTGCTAAATTGAATTAAAAGCGGAAAAAATAGCATTAAAATTCCGAGAGAGAGAGAGAGAGAGAGAGAGAGAGAGAGAGAGAGAGAGAGAGAGAGAGAGAGAGAGAGAGA